ATCCAACTACCATTGTGTAAAACAATTACAGGTTTCCGTTTCATACTCATTTGGTAGGACGGCTGTACCTCCCTGGGTAGTTGCCGTCTACCAGCCTATCACAATTATCGAGTAGGGAAGCACTGCGGAAATAACTGATTAAACTTACAAAATAAAATTGCTACAATAGCACAAGTAGACCTGACGAACACCTATCACAGGAGTATGGCACCACGATTGCACTACTGCTATCATCCATCTCCAACCAAAGATTTTTAACAGTAGTTCATTTACACAACTCCTTATCCTCCTTCGAGAGCCAGCGACGGGTCATTTGATTAAGTCCAGTGTCAAGACAGTGTTCCTGGCGAATATTTATACTGCTACCCTACTGTTAGAAAAGCTTGCTTCAACGAAACACCTCAAATATCCTAGTACTGAGTGTCAGATTTACAGTTGTCAATATTTGATAACATCTTTGACCTAGATATTTTACATGTTAAATGTTTGTGCCGGTTTATCCAGCTACTTGAGCATCACAATATATACCTGTGACAGGGTTCTCTAATTTTTCTATTGGGGCAGTCCGGCCTTCAAGCCAAACTTCCCTGTTTACCGCTCTATCAACCAGGCTATTGTTGTCATAATTAAAGAGCACTGGCATAGACCTACTAGCCCAAGCTGAGCAGGTCTATCAGAACGCAAATATGCCTAAAACTGGAAACTTTGCAGTTCGTTCCACGCATCTGCTGTTGCCAAACCAGTATTTATCAACATCTTTCCTAAATCTCAATTTATCGAGATTAAATTCATCAAGTTCTTTCTTGGTTATCAGTTCCATTTCCCATCACTGTATGACTTTCTAGAGACTAATCACTTACAGGGTGGATAAACTGTCATTCTCCAACTTCAATGCATATATACCATCATGCACATAAAGCCCAACTGAAACGGTGAATCTTGCAAGAACTTTTCCAAATACACTGTACTTCTTGTAGACTTATTTTGTGGCATAATTTTCTTTGCATTAATGGTAAACAATACTGATAAGTATGGAGACGCGTAACACATGGATATCTCTATTGGCGAGAAGTTTTTCTTGTGCAGCAGTAATACAGACGTGACTTTTATACCGAGTGGAAGTAGTAGTTAATTTTAAGGTGTTCAGTCCCTTAGTCTTTAAAGTTTTTCGACTAGGCGACTGAACACCTATCAAGGTTAAAGGACGGAACACCTATCAAGGCTAAAGGACGGAATATCTATCAAGGCTAAAGGACGGAACACCTTAAAATTACCTCCACTTTTTTGCAATGTCTCCACTATAAATAGTTTCTGTATTAGATTAAAAAAAAAAAAAACCTGCTATACAGGCAGTCTAGTCAATTGATACCTGTGAGTGGTACACGTATCTTCTCGCATTTTTTTTTTTAATCGTGGGTACAAGGTAGAATAGTCGTTAACCTTGGAACTTTCCTAGTCTAACTTTGCTTGATACCAGTTTTTTTTCCTAGTAGTGCTCAATGCACACTTCCTTCCGCAAGTTATTATGATTATGATGGAAGCGGGGAAGGTCCAGTTCCTGCATAAAGGCGGGGCCCCTACTGAAATACTAGGATTACACAGGTACTGAGTATTTTAGGTGAGCTCTGATTACCGTTTCATAGTACATTCCTAGCGCTTTGAAGCGGTCACAAAGAATGTTTTATTGGTTCTGTGCGACAACGTTTATATTAACGGTAAACAAGACAGACACATTGATGAATAAGACATTTGCAACAATTAGGTACCTTTACTATGATAGTTTCACCAGTCAGTGGCTTCTTCCAGTTCAATACAGAAATTACATATTTGAGACAGTGATAGACGAGATAATCAGTCCCTCAGTCTTGTCAAGTTCCTTTCCTTGCCCCTAGTTTATTCAACCTTATCTTATGAATGGCCAAACTTATGCATAATTAAGTTCAATAAATGTCACCCCATAAATGAAAGCATCAGTATATATGTCTACAGAAATACAAGCAATGTTAATTAGACGTAAAACGTCCGGATGTCCGCGAGGGGCGACCCACCCACCAAGGACGATGTGGGGAGTTATAGATGTACCTTCTCTCTTATTCTACCTTCTCCTAAACTTTATCCAGCGATAGAAACTGAGCTATAGGATCTTCCTCATAAGATATGCACATAATGGGTATGAAGTGCACGCAATAACCACTTTGGAAACCAAAATAAAGAAACGCTTGAGTGCCAAACCAACGAAGGTGTACATCTTAATCCCATGCGGGCCATGTGAGAAGGGTTAAGCGAGTGATTCAGCCAGGAGCTTGAACCCGTGCTCTGGACATAAATACGCATGCAGTAAGAGGGGCAAATTTGAATAACGCTTGCGTAATACACGAACAGATTCTTAGTATTTCATTAGCCAAGTTTCAGACCTCTCCAGTGTTACTATCTAGAATAAAACCAGTGTAGCTAACATCATATTCAACACTTATCAAAAATTTAATAACTATACCATGTGTTGGACGTGGCAAACTATATGTGGGGCAGACTGTTGTAAGTTGGGCACAACTTCTCAGAGAATACCCGTATGCATGTCACTGATTAGATAAATTCCACAATTACCTCACGAACAATGTCACCGCATTTATCAGGAAAAACTAACCAGAACAGGCGTTGTTAACTGCAATCGAAATATCTAAAGTTTCCTGAAGAACTACCAATATACTGCAACGAACATTTGGGACATTTATAGCTATATACAATATTTGAGCATAAAGGCTGAATAATAATAATAATAATAATAATAATAATAATAATAATAATAATACAGTAATGCATTTAAGAGGAGTGATTCACTTGCTCTCTAAGCCTTGTTGAAATTAAATGCCTGTTAAAAAACGTTAATCAATTTTGTTTTGCTACGAGGTATTATGCACATTCTAAGAAATACACATACTCTCAAACAAACCCATGTACAGTACCTGAATGTACAATTCTTTGTAGTACAAGACAAACTCAAATTCAACAGTGTGAGTCCCATGTGCGAGACTTAATTGTAACAATGTCGGAAGCTCTCTCATTCAAAGATCAAAACAATGCTGGCATTGCCACCGCACGGAAAATAATCGGCTGGATAACTAGAATTTTCAAAACAAAAGATATTTAGCTAATGATACTTTAGGAACTTGTTGTCTCTGCTGTAAACTAAGGGGTCCTCCTTCACAACAAGCGAGACTGCTGAGCAGTAAAACGTACAGAACTTTCACTGCTAGTATACATTTAAACATCTGGACTACTAGGAAGGCTTAAGAGTCCCTTCAACTACTTGTATTCCTTGTAACGTAGGCGAGAAAGGTACATAATCTACACCTGGAAAATCATGGAGGGACTGGTCCCAAACTTAACACACTGAAATGACACCATATAAGAGACTTGGCAGGCAGTACGAAATAACTAGTATAAAGCAGAGTGCGACGAGCACACGAAGACAACTCCACGAGTGTCAGAGGTCCCTGACATGTCAACGCCCTCCCTCCGTGTATAACAGGAATTACCAACACATCTCTGGCTGTCTTCAAGAGTGAACTGGTAAAGTTCCTCAAATCAATGCCCGACTAACTGGGCTGTGGTTCATACGTTGGAATGTGTGCAGAGAGCACTAACAGCCAGATTTATCAGGCCCTGATCTTCCAGAAAGCCTGTCTGGAACCGGGCCGCGGGAACGTTCACGCCCGGAAGCGTCTTTCTGGTATTCTTCAGGTACCAGGGTCAGCGGGTATAGTGACAGTGGCGTGTAGGAGGTCTGGTGATACCCGGGAAGATATTTTGAATATGTAAACACAAGTCAAACATTAAATAAACATTTTATTCGATTTAAATATAAATCAACCAAATATATTAAGTTCTTTTCCCCGAATGATACCTCCTACTTCACTTTTTACATCAGTTGTGAGAAATTCTTTTTCAATGCTTATTAAAGCCAGGTTGGTCAGTCGCTCCTGTGACATTCAAGACCTCAGATATGTTTTTATTAATTTCAGTTTTGAAAATGACCTTTCACAACTTGCGACTGAAAATGTGATTGTAAGCAGTAATGTGTATGACACACAGCGTGGGAAATACATCCCTCCCATACTGCAGTAAAAACTCCACAGCATCTTTACCATCAGGGGGAATTCTATTCTCCAGCTCGAAGGAGCATCACAAAATTAATAATTTCGTCATATAACTGAATGGCTGCCATATCATTATCATAATTTTCAAAGTCTAAACTTTTTTTTTTTTTTTAATTTCTCTTTCTTGTTCATCTTCAATTACAACTGAATTCAAGTTCAAAAGAAATGAAAATCGGTCACCGAGTTCTTGAAGACTGACACTGCGGTCTTCAATTTCCGTTTTTAATCGGTTCATGATCTCGACCATTACTCTATTCATTTTTTCTTGTGCCGTCAGTCTACTATCTCTTGCTGACTGTCCAGGCATTATTCTTCATGGTGTACCCTTTCTGGACAGAAAGGGTACACCATGTTAAATGAATAAAGGGCTAACCACGGCCTCTGTAGTGCGGTGAGCCTCCAAAAATTTACTTATCACAGCCGAAATTTCAAAATCACTATCTTATTTACTTCTCTAATTGGATCCCCCCTCCCCCAATTTGGATGTCCGGGGCCACCGCTCCTTCGGCCTCCCCCCCTGCACGCCACTGGGGGATACTGAGCTAAACTTGTTAACTGGATTAACATGACCTGTCTCGCTCATCAGTGTAACTTCATCTCGTCCTGGTCCTTTCCATGCTGACTAGTTTCCCAACATTGTCTCATGAGTACTATGCACATCGTCATCAAGTCTGAGAGCCTAACCACTGCACAAGGGACTAAGATGCACTCAAGTTTCTTTTTACGCTCTCCCGAAAACAAAGTAAAATTAATTCAGTCTTCATAGATGTGGATCCTTATACAAGATTCCTGCCATGTGGCGGATCTGCACGCTTCCTAATTTATAGATTTTATGTACAGTACCTGTGTAGCTTGTGACAGCCTGTGCAGTCTGACCACCTTGGCCAGCTGAAGAGATAGTCGTCTTACAGATACTCACCTGTAAAAAGGAAACGCTACATTAGAACACTAAATTTTTCAGACTACATTTATATATATATATATTATATATATATATATATATATATAATATTTAAATATATTATAAATATATATAATTATAAATAATATATATATATATATATATATATATATATATATATATATATATATATATATATATATATATATATGGGAACAGATTCCTTATGTTTTTCTTCTTCTCTTTTTTAGTAAATGTCTACAGGAGAAGGGGTTACTAGCCCATTGCTCCCGGCATTTTAGTCGCCTCATACGACACGCATGGCTTACGGAGGAAAGATTCTTTTCCACTTCCCCATGGACAATAGAAGAAATAAAGAAGAACAAGAGCTATTTAGAAAAAGGAGAAAAACCTAGATGTGTATATATATATATATATATATATATATATATATATATATATGCATGTGCGTGTCTGAAGTGTGACCAAAGTGTAAGTAGGAGTAGCAAGATATCCCTGTTATCTAGCGTGTTTATGAGACAGAAAAAGAAACCAGCAATCCTACCATCATGCAAAACAGTTACAGGTTTCTGTTTCACAGTCATCTGGCAGGACGGTAGTACTTCCCTGGGTGGTTGCTGTCAACCAACCTACTACCTACTGAAGGAGGGGTGTTAATGTTGCAGTTTAAAAACTGTAGTGTAAAGCACCCTTCTGGCAAGACAGTGATGGAGTGAATGATGGTGAAAGTTTTTCTTTTTCGGGCCACCCTGCCTTGGTGGGAATCGGCCAGTGTGATAAAAAAAATAAAAAATAGATTCCTTATGTTAAATGCTCAAACGCATTCATAACTTCAACAATGGTAGAAATATATGAAGCGACGAATCTTTACATAGTGAGCAAAGAGCCTACTTCACAAATCCCTTAATACAACTTTCCAGTAGCCTTGCCTTTCCCGTGTCCTTATTTCTTACCAGCTAATCACAAGATTATTCCAAGGTTCAGGTAGGTTGGCCAGGACGGGTCCTGTCCCGGGTCTTCTCTATGTGGTGACGCAGCATATTCCAAGGTTCTTCTATCAGAGAGGAAGATTGAAGAGGGAATATATAGTATGTAGGTTTCGTTGCTGGACGAAATTGACTGTTTTATTTGATGTATTATTAAAACTAAGAAAACATTAATAACATTTTTACTAATGCAGGAAATGCGCTTAAAAGCTGTACAGTTGGCAGAGCACAAAACCCGTTACAAGATTCTTCCAGTGAACAACCAGATGGACGAATAAAAACTGTAGAAAGCTGACAATATTTCACTGCAAGAAAACTCAGTAACCACAACAGAAACTTGGCCCCGAAGATGATGAGAACATTTTAATGCAAACAAAAATAGGCGAGTAATGGATTTTAAAAAAAATGAACGGGAAAATAAGTACTAGACGATGGTGAGAAGAGGAGACGGATCAGATTGAAAAGTAACAAGGTGGTTGGTCAAAAGTGAAGCAAAGAAAATGGCAGATCTATTTGTAGAAAATGGTGAAAGGTGCAGAAAAGCAAATTTAAAACAAGTCATTAACTGTGAACTGAAACGTAGTTACGAGTACAGAATCCCTTCTGTAGTGTAGTTGGGAGAAAGGGGGGCAGCGCAGTTGGACAAGGCCGCCAAGGGCTCGTACCCGGATGTGAGAGTAATCCTCCATCCACATCGGAAAAAAAAAAGATCAACGACGCAAGCATCAAGGCTTCAGGAAGCATACGCCTTCACACTAGAGTTATGCTCCGACCCCAAGCCAGTCTTTTTAAGGAAGTCACCCTCCCGGCTGCACCACTATGCAACCAGGCAGTAATATCCATTTCATATAATAAGCTTGTAATAATATTAGTTTAAATATAATCACAAGCTATCAAAATGCTACACTAAGCCAGCAAGGCTCAAAACAGCTCATTTATCAATCAAATTATCAACAAAACTTGCCTAGTTTAACAAGCTAGTTTATATATGTCCGACCCCAAACATTCCCTACCATAAAATATACAATATTTAAAGTATTTTCTTGTTTAAGTAAACCCAGCACGACATTTTGCTAATATAAACTCCCTAGATAAAGGTACATTTTTATATCAGTGGGTCACGCATGCGTGTCACTAAACAACTAACGAATAATGCAGAGGTTCCCAACCTGAGGTCTGTGGACCCCTGGGTGGTCCACAAAGGTAGTACTGGGGGAGGGTCCACGAAGGTAGTATTAGGGGAAGGGGGGGGGGAGGACGCGAGCCAAGTTTAAAATTTCAAGAGGCTGCAATGTAAAATGTAGAATTACTCCCGAAAAGGCTGATAAAGATAAAATTTCAAAGCCGTTTCCAAATCGGCAGGAGCCTAGTTTTTTTTTTTAGACTTTTTTTTATCTGTTGGTTTTATTTTATGGGCTGCTGATTCGAACATGCCAAACCTCCATCGAACAATGGAATACAAAGCACCGAGATATTTAATGCCACTCTCCACTACATATTTATGCAAGCAGGTTTTCTCCTAGCTGTTTTATATAAAATCAAAACACAAACAGGATGAATGTGGAACTTTATCTGCGCTTAAAACAGCCTGCGACTGAACCTAAAAATTCGGAACAGTGCCAACAAAGCAGTATCAACCATCTCATTAAACAAGTATTTTTTTTGGAAATACTCATACTCAGTTACGCATGACTCAACTGAGAGATGACACTGAGAAAACGAGTTTGTTGTTAGTTAATACCATCGGCTTGTTGAGTAGACAGACCTTCCAAAACTTGGGGTCCGTGGGAAAATTAACTTAAATAAAAGGGATCCTTGGTGGTGAAAAGGTAGGGAACCACTGCCGTAATGTATCCGTGGCAGACCACTGATAAGCCACTATCATCAACTACGTGTCCCAACAGGTCATACCTACATCCGCTTATCTACGCGCCGCTGTATTTCAGTTCAAACAGTCCCTATGTACATAGAAGAGAATTAGGACATAGTTGAAAATTACATTCCTAAGGCCGGGGAATGGGAAGTACGTAATCAGGTTTGATAAAAGAGATTAGCTCCAATTCTTTTGATCTGCAAACTTTCACAATCATGGCACCACCCTTAAAGGGTAAGAATATGATAAGGGGTTGCCACTGAAGGAAATTTAAAAAGTTATGACTTGTACTTTTGTATTTATCAGAAAGCTTTTAACTGTCAAGTTTCCTCTCTGCTGATTCACTTATCTGACGAAAACGCTCGAGATATGATAACGTTTTTATCGTAAATAACTGAAAAAAATTAGACAACTCGCTCACAAATGTTCAAGAAATATTAAATTTTATCTAGTGGCATATAACCAACTATACTGGAAAAATACTGACTTTACCTACTGTAAATAGCTTATAACCATTTAAACTTTTTTTTAAAGCCAACCATACCTTGCTAAAACATAAGGTAATATAAATAATTCAAAGCCACACAAGGAAAACTTATTCAGACATGAATTCAGTCACTAATAAGTAACTCATGACGACTAACCAGATAAAAACAATGTAAATAGTTCATTACCACTAACTTACTTAGCTTTCAAAACTTGTGGGGCCCCGTCCCTGAACCTACTATGTACCTCTGCAATCTTTTGACTACCACCCACAGGATGGGTATGGGGTGCATACTGAAGCAACTAAACTAATTAAAAAAAAAAAAAAAGAGTCAGTAAGAAAATAAACTTAGCATTTTCACAACGAATATATAATAAGTTTATTTTCGAGTTTATGGAACTAAGGTAATCATGGTAGCAGACATCCAAAAGAGGTAACTCACGACAATATGACAGTAAAAGGACACAAGTGCAACTAATGTGACATTTTTATTGTGGCAACGTTTCGCTCTCCAGGAGCTTAATAGGAGGGTTAATAGGAACTTTTTCCCCGGATCGGAATTGTCATTTATTCTTTACGATATGCGTCCGATTATGTTAGTGGTTAGGGCATAGCAATTCATAATACGACCAAAAAAAAATCAAATGGCTTCGCATCTCCCGTAGCATTTACACTTCACATTTAAAATCATTTGAAGCTGATCACGGGTGTTTGGCTGGGGCCGGAAGTTTGCCAAACGTGCCCCATTGCGATCAACTACTACGACCAGACTGCTACCGGTGTTTGTAGATCCAGAATGAAATTTCACACCATCTCAGAGTGCTGGATTAACCTAAACTTGGTAATAAGGTATTAGAACCGTACACTACTGACTGGGCAACCCACAAGACGGTAGACACTTATCTGTGGATCACCTGACGTCAACAATAGATTATACACTAGATCATGTAATATACTAACTGTCCTTTAATTTTAAAGAGTATTTTTTCAAATTAGAACTAAATGCCACAAATTACATCGGTCTTATGATAATCCAAAATTGATGTACACATGAATACTGGCCCATGCAAAGCATGTCTGGTCAATCCTAATACAGTAGTTTCATTAACCATCTTCAGTTAGGCAATAATCTAATTTAGATTTAGGCAATAAATAAACTGACTGGGAAACAGCGTTACAGATGAAGGCGCAAGTTACCATCGCGGGATCAATCGAGCAAAAACAATGTAGAATGGATTGGACAAATAGAAGTGATAGTGAGCACTAGAGTTCTCATGGGTCAACAAGTTGTTCAATTTATATGCTAAACGTGCAACTTCCATGTACACGATGAAACAAAACTTACCTAGCACAAATTAAAGAGAGCAGGATATATTTTGATTCTCATACCGGTTATTTCTATCAACAACCAAAGTGAATGAACAGGTAATAACAGTTACTGTACATGGTTAACATTATTTTTACATGCACCACGCCCCCCAACACTCACTCCCTTCCACTCAACATTCAGCTAATGTCAACACAATGGTCACCTTTCACTAAAGTCCGAACGTACGCGTGTACCAGGCTGTGTTGTTTGCGGCAGCCTTACAGCAGT